AAATTCTGTAGGGCGCCCTGGGACGACAGGTGCTCAACAGGTCAGCACGACCTACAAGCTCCGTGGGGCTGGGGCTGGGCCCCGGCAATGCCCCTCCTAACTGTGGGGTGGTACCAGCTAGAGGACAGTGCCCAGCTGCGGGGCTGCATCCAGCTGTGAAGGAGACACAGCCACGGCTCAAAGCCCAACCCCAAGGTCCCCTTCCCACTCACCAAGATTCCTCCTCCTTTCAGCCATAGCCCTGCCCAGGGAGGTAGCTTTAGCTCTTGGCCAGAAAGGGGAGCACTCCCTTCCTGGAAGAGTTTTGAGCCTTTCAAATTTGGGGCGCCTCTGAGCAGCTCTTCTTGCTGTGTGGGGGTTTCTGGGATTTTAACTCAAAGGCACTCTCTAGAGCAAGTCTCTGGATGGATACTGGGCCACCTAGGGCAGGACGACAGGGAGGACAAGAGCCCTTTCTGACTGTGTGGCCCTGGGCAAGTCACGGTGGTCTCCTGAGAGCCTCTAGCAGTATCAATGGACCACCAGCCATAGGACTTGTAGGGCCCTTCTCCCCATCTCCCCGGTGAAGAAACTGAGCCCAGGGAAGAGAAGGAATGTGCCCAAGGTCACACGCCTGGTAAACAGTGGGACTCACACTAAACCCAGGTGTGCCTGCCCCCGATGCTGCCCTGAGCTCTGCCAAGACACAGCTCCTCAGCAGCCCCAGAAGGTGAGGCTGATCTCAGGGATGGCTAAAGGTCTTCCATGTTTGTTTGTGACGCCTAGACCGCAACAGGTTTCCGGACTGAGGGACTGGACGTCTCAGAGCCTTTAACCTGAGGGCGTGCACTGGGAGTCTCCCGGGAGGAGATATAGGCTGCTGTGTCCCCCTGGGGACATGACCCACAGAACATCCTGTACGGTGTCTAGAGCTTTGCAGAGCACTCTCAGAAACACCAGCTTCCCTGAGGCTGATAACGGGGAGCTCAGTCCCCTCTGCCCATCCCCCAGGGCTCAGGCCTGTCTCTTCCCTTCTCGTGGGGCACACTAGCCCTCGGCAGGCTCTCAGCCATCATCCATGTGCCCTGGACACCCCAACCTTCATCTCTAGATGTGGCCTCATCTCCACACCCCCCCTCCAGATCTCCCACAGCTCCCTAAACTCAGCACAATCACAACTGAACTCATCATCCTTCCCTTAAGCCTGTTCCACCCTGGTATCATTTATCTCTTGCCAAATAGCACCATCATCCTCATTGTCACTGAACAGGACACCTGGGGTCACTGGGGACTCCTTCTCCCTCAACAACCACATCTGGGGCCTGTCCACTTTTTCTCTTTAAAATCCCAGTGTGCCATTGCCCACTGACTCAGCTCAAACCTCTCTATGTCTTACGTTTTTAAAACTCAACACCACCTGCCCCAACATCCCCCTCCAGTCTTTTCCATATTTCTTGCCAATAACTTTCTAGAGCACACACATGACCCCATCACCACCTTGCACACAACCTTTCCACGGCTCCGCACTGCCCATGGGATAAAAACATCTAAGTTCCTTAACACCATCTCCAAGACCCATCAGAACCCTTCACGACCCATGCCAATCTCCAGCCTCAGATCCTACTGCCCAGCTCTCAAACTTACACTCCACCGCACTGAAAATAGAGCTCCCTGAACTCATTGATATTATACTTTCCGGAACCTGGAGGGGTGACAGGAATTGGGGGTGTGTGTGCATAGTCCCTGCTCTCTCCTCAACACAATGCGGTTCAGGACCACGGAGAGCATCACCTGGGAACCCCCCCCTCCCCCTGCCCTTAGTCATGCTCTGCCTAGGGGGTCTACCCAGCTCACTGCTCCCACTTTCCCTCAAAAACCCAGCACAGACCATGACTTCCTCCAGGAAGCCCTCCTTGACCCACCTGGAAAATTGTCATTTCCTCCTCTGGGATACATGAGTAACCTGTGTATGCTTCCCTCACACCAAACTCATTGCGTTGATTATGTTTGTACATAAGTCCACCCCCCCACCCCACCCCCAACTGTGAGCCTCAGGGCCCCATACTGTCTGATTCATCTCCACAGCCCAGTGCAAAGGAGGTGCCCAGAGAATGTTTGTTGATTGAATGAGTAAACGACATTTAGCAGGTGCACAGGAAGTGTGTGTTGATTTGCATCATGTATCTGTTGCTCTGAGTGACTCAGAAACCAGCCAGATTCCTCTCCTAGCCCCTCTGGAAAAGGCATTTTCTCCCTGACTGACTCCACCCTCCATTAGCTTCCATGTGCCCCTTGCCTCCACCCTCCTATTACCTTTTCCACAGGTCAGCACCCAGCCCTGGGGAGGCGACAGCCCCTCTCTGCTCCTGCTGTTGCCAAGCAGGGGACTTGTCCGGGGCCCTCCACCCCCCAGCCTGGGCCTGCCTCGCTAGTCCTGCTCAGAATGCTCTGTCCCTGTCTCTCTCTCCTGCTCGGAACAGATGGCTCTGAGTCCCCACAAACACAGAAGTCCCTGTTCTGTCATTTGAACATTTTTAATGCTTTCTAAATGATAGAAGCTTCAGTCTCCTTTGATCATGGACTCAGACTATCAGAAACAAAGAATCCCTTGAAGGATCCTGAGCCCAGCTTCTTTGCGGTCCTGCCGAGAGGCTGCGTCTGAGAGAGGGCCCGTGGCCTGCCCAAGATCATTATAATGGACACCATCTTCGTGTGTGTTTGTTTTCCTTTCATTGCTGTTCTGTTTTGATATTCAGAGTCCAACCCCCTTCCTGGCAGCACCCTGGTGTCCTGGGCTTAACAGAGCTAAACATCAAGGAATGGCCACAGGGTCCAACTGGACTCTCTTGCCCTGGGCTTTAAATCTGGAGTAGGGGGCAGGAAAATAGGGAAAATCGTCTGGCACTTTGGGGAAGGTCCCCAGTAAGACAGCCCAGGAGCCCTGCTCCCAAATCTGCATTGTTCCCATCAATTCTGTGAGCTCCTAATGTGCTTCCAACAAATCCCTCTCTTGCCCAAGATGGCCACTCGGTGTCTTCTGCACACAGCCCTCCAACCCTAACCAGCAGAATCACACGGGCGCGCAGTCCCGTACCTTCCTGTGTGGGTAAAGCTTGGCGCCAGCGGCCTCCTGCAGGCTCTGTCTCGAGAGGCCGCATTCAACCGACACTTCACATTCCCACTCAGACATGGAGGAATGACGTGCACTGCAGGGAATGAGACGGACTGAACAGTGTCTGGTGTTGCAGGGGAATAAGCCAGGGCTGGGGTGACCACCTCAAGGCCTGTATCCCACCCTCCAAGCCTGAGGTCAGGGTGGAGGAAAAGCAGACCTACCACCACACCCTCACACCCTCGCACGCGGACACAGAGATGGGCACTCTGACAGACACACCTGCGTGTCCCGATGACAGCTGGGAGCTAGAATGCACGTGTGGTCTGGGACGAGCAGTGAACACACTGAGGGGTGGGTCAGGCTTAAGGGCCTGGGCCTGCTGAGCCGTGCATTCCCCACGAACGAGGCTATCAAGAGTCTCGGGGCCTCTGGGATTGCTCAGAATTGTCCTTTAGGCCAGACAGGTGTGATCGATTGACCACTCGGCTCCGGCCTGAGCGGCTGGGCTCTCAGGGACCCACACCTGTGGCCCCAGAGCAGCGAGGCCCGAGTGACAGCCCCGTGAGACAGGAGTGGTGGGAGTGTGAGCACAGCTGGGCCAGGACCACCAGCAGAGTAGGCCCTGGTCTCACTCCCGGAGTCCGCCAGCCCAGGCCCCCACCCTGACCCCAAACTTTAGATGAGAACACCCTATAACCTCCAAGCTGGGCATTCTGTCCAGCTCAGTCCTAGCAAGCCCCATCCTGCCCAGCCCAGCGACCCAAACACCGGGATACACTGAGAAGAACCCTGGGTTCAGGATTCAAGCCCCAGGTCCCAGCCAGTCTCTCCTGCCCCCAAAGCACACACAAGCCTGCAAGATCACAGAAGCCTTCTGCCCCTCCCCCTGCACCTCTGCGGGGCCCACCCTCTCCAGGGGGCGTGCCCTTCCCCCACACCTTCTCCTGCTGTTTGCCCCCCCACCTGCACAGAAGCTCCTGGGGGACGGAACGCTTTCCTCTGCCCACAGGTGTGCCACGCCTGGCCTGGTATTACCCTGCCCTGGGTTGGACTGTGAGGTCCAAGGGCAGGGTCAGAGTCAGCGTCTCTGCCCACCACCTGTTTCTGGCAGTCGTATGGATGAGGTTTCCGATCTTCCTCCCCAGCCTCTGGACTCTGGGGTTGGGGAGGTGGGGTGGCTCTTTTGACTCTTGGGAAGCCCTCGCCCATTTTCTGGGAACTGAGCCTCTCAGGGGTCTTTTCCAGGGGCGCAGGGAGGAAAGTTCGGATCCTGGAGCAGGGCTTCCGTAGGCCTGGACCCAGCCTGTGAGAGTCATACAATGGGGGCTGGAAAAGCCACATTCAACACCCCTCTTAAAACACAGCTGGGAGTCTGAGCTACAGGAAATGAACCAGCTCACACAGCCGGTGGTGCCGAGCGGGTCCATGGCATCCTGGCCCCCCCGCCCCAGACTGGGTGTCTCCTTCTCAGGAGAAAGCAAGTGTGATCGTGGGACTTACGTTTGGTCTTCATCCTGTTTCCGGCACAGAATTCCTAAGACCTTTGGAATTTCCTAAATGCTGAGAGACCTAAAGGTGCCTTTTGTCTGCTAATGAGGTGGCATTTGGACCCCACCTAAGGGGAGGCTGGAGGCCGGGAGAACTCCCAGTCCCCCCACTGACCAATGCGGACGGAAGACTGACGGGCTGGAGGTCGAATCGATCACCAAAAGCCAGTGGTTTAATCGATGGTGTCTAAGTAATGAAGCGTCCACGAAAGCCAAAAAGAATAGGGTGAGCGCGCGGGGGTGCTGGTGGATGGGGCTCCTGGAGGGGGCACGGCGGCCCTGCCCCTGCCCCTGCCCCACACCTCGCCCTGGGCCTCCCTCCCACCTTGCCCTGGGCCTCCCTCCCACCTGCTGTCCCTGAGTCGTGCCCTTTATTATAAACCGGTGATCTAATGAGTAAATGGGTTTCCTGAGCTCTGCGAGCCGCTCTAGCAGATTAACAGAACCTGAGGAGGGGGCACGGGAGCCTCTGATTCACAGCTGGTCAGTTAGAAGCACAGCTGACAATGTGGACCTGTGCTTGGCCCATCCACTGGGCAGGGCTGGGGTGAGCAGTCTTGTAGGACTGAACCCTTACCCTGGGCGGGGACTCTGACCTTATCTCCCGGTACACAGGGTCAGAAATGAGTGGAGGCCAGGAGAAAACTGCTTGGAGAGGTGGGATCCCCTGCAAACACCGTAACCGGTGCAGGTTTTTCCTTATAAGTTCAGGGGCAGCGTGTTTTATGCGCTCCAAGGGTCAGATTGTGGGTGGAGGGGCTGGTCAGCTTGGCAGTGGCCACTCCTGAGGAAGGGCTGGGGATGGGGGAGCTGAGCTGGGGGGCCCAGCTCCCAGAGCTTGTCTGTCCGGCAGTAGGGGCAGGGAGGCAGGGTCAGGAGGTGAGCGTGAGTCTGCTGCTGGGAGGCAGGCCCCTGCTGGCCAGGCACCAGGGCAGGGGGAGAGAAGCTGGTGCTCACGGGGCAGAAAGAACACGCCTCCCCACTGCTGCCCGCCTGGAAGCTGTTGGTCTCCTGCCGCGCCCAGCTGCGCTGAACCCAGTGGCAACCGCGAGGCCCGCAGAGCCAGCCCGCCCCAGGCGCTGTGCCGGGGTCGGAGCATGAGCAGTGGGCAGGGACCAGGCTGTGAGCCCCCTCCCCCGCGTGGTCCCAGGGCAGCTGAGTCTGTGGGGGACCCGACGCCCTTCCTCCTCCAGGAGCTTGAAGCCACATGGGCAGCAGAGTGAAACCTCCCTCAAGACTATCGGATGCCCCCCTTTTGTTCAGAGGGTGACCCTGGCAAAGGGGTGTCCTGTGCCCTCCTGCCCTGCAGAGCGAGGGGTCCAGGGTGGGGAGCGGCCCTGCAGCCCTCGCCCGGGCTGCCCTCCTCTTCCTCTCCGGCCCCCACTCCCAGCAGAGAGTGCGGACAGCTCAGTCCCCAGCCCGGCCTCAGGCACGCCCGGCTCTCCAGCTGGGAGTGAAGCAGTGGCAGGTGCAGCTCGGCCGGGGTCCCGGAGCCAAGGCCAAACGGGGACAGAGGCGCTGAGGCTGCCGGGGCTGGCGGGAGGGCTGCGGCAGGCGAGTGGGACCTCCTCGCGGGGGCGCGGGGGCCTCAGGGGTCCTCGGCAGCAGCACACATGCTGGAAAGCAGGACTCGGCTCTCCGTGTCCTCGCTGCCAGGGGTCCCTGCGGGAGGAAAGATGCTCAGCCAGCCCGAAAGGAGGCAGAAGGTGCCTTGGGACCGGGCTGGGAAACCCCTCACATCTGCTGTCAGAATGAGCTCCAGATGCCACCCCTTCTCCTTACCTTCAAGGCCGCCCCAAGGTCCCAGCCCCACCGCTTCCCCTGGTGGTGCGGAGCCTCTGGTGGCCCCCTGCCTCCACGCTGACCCCCCCAGTCTGTTCTGCACACAGCAACCACACTATACAGCTTTTCGCACTGTAAATAGAACACGTTGGGGCCCGTGTGCAGGAAACGACACAGCCTCAAAGTTGAGGCCACGGTCCCTACAAGGCCCCCAGGTGCCCGCTCCGGCCTCATCCCTACCACTGCCCCCCTCGCTCCCGCTCCAGCCACGCCAGCCACGTGACCTCAGGGCCTTTGCACTGGCTGGCTGTGTGCCTGGAGCCCCTTCCCCCAGATAGCCGCATGGCTCACTGCCTCACCTCCTCCAAACCTCTGCTCCAATGTGCCCTGTGCAGCGAGGACCTCTAGGACAAGCCTTTCAACAGCTGCAGGCTGCCCCCATGTTTTCCCGTCCCCCCGGCCTACTTTACACCTCGCCGTAGCGCTGATCACCTTGCACGTACTCTATCTTTTGCTCTTCCTGTTTCTTGTCGGTCTCTATCTCCTAGAGCATCCCAGGTGTTCACCCCCCTGCATCTGGCACATAGTGGGGGGTGGGGTGGGTAATGACCACTTTTGAATGAATGAACAGATTAACAAATCAGCAGGCTCTGGGGGTGGCCCGTGCTCCCCGCTCCTGTGAGGCTCAGCCCCGAGCCTGGCCGAGGTGGGAGGGCTGGGCGTACCTGTGCCCGGCTGCCGGGCCCTGGCCTGGTCCCTCTCCAGCCGCAGCGCGGTTAGCAGGAAGCAACCGCCGCCCAGGGCGATGACGAAGGTGCAGCACAGGAAGCTCTGCTGAAGGCTGAGGAAGGACTGCAGGTAGGAGTCGGGGCGCCCGGCCCTCAGGGTGCTGGAGATCTGCAGAGAGAGGCTGCGTCTGCCAGGCCCGCCCGACCAGCCGGCAGCCACCCTTACAAGGCCAGTGAGGTAAGGGCTGCCGGCGTCCCCCAGGATGTGGCCCACCGTGATCTGAAGCGCCTCTGCTGTCCCTCGGCACCGGGGCACCACCACAGACTGCAAAACACAGGAGTATCAGGGGAGCTCCCCAAGAAAGGGCAGAGCGCGGGCGCCCCTCGTTCCCACCTCCTGCTCCCCGCTGGGACCGCCCGGAGCTGGGGCAGGCTGGCCAAGCCAGTGGGATGGAAGGGGGTCAGCGACGCCCCACCAGTGGAACGTCAGGCTCCTCCAAGGGGTGGGGGAGCCACGGCCCCAGATGAGGGCCCCCCTCTCGAGGGCTTGCTCTGGGACCGGGCAGGGACCAGGCAGGGCTGTGACTGCAGGGACGGAGGCGGGAGTGCAGGCCAGCGTGGGCATGGATGCCCGGACGCGGGGCACAGAGGGCTCGGCCCTTCTCTCAGGAAGTTCAAGCCCCACTGGGCAGAGACCAGAGGCAGCCTTCCTGGAGAGACCCCCATGAGCCCTGGAAGAGGGTATGAGTTCTGGAGTCAGAGCGTCTGGGTTCCAATCCCAGACCCCCCACTCACTAGCTGAGTGACTTCAGTGTCCGCGTCCCCCAACGGGGATAATTACAGGACCTACTGGGGGGATATGTTCATTATCATTCTTCATGCAGACAGCAGACCGAAATAATGCCCTGTGACCCCAGGAGGCAGAACACTTGCAGACCCTTCTGCCTGGCCAGCCTGCCCCGCTCCGGTCCAGCCGGAGCATCCCTATTTGTCCTTCAGGACTGACCCTCCCAGAGTTCGGGTGCCTGCCCTACAGCCCGTGTGCACCCCACCTGAACGTGCACCCCCCACACTGGAAGGTCCCTCCATTGTCCTCCCCCCACACACACCGTCTGGGCAGCAAGGCCCCTTTCGGACTTCTCTCGAGCTCCCTGGGGCACAACGGGGCGCCAGGCCCAGAGAGGACTAGCCTAAAGTCCGCCCAGCAGACAAGTCCAGTAGAACCAGCCAGAAGCCAGGCTTGCCGCAAGGGAGGGGTTCAAGCAGCGGCCTCACAGTCCCAAAGGGGGGGCTCATCCCCAAGACCTAGGTGTCCATAACCTGAACCCAGCAGAGATTAACAACTGGAATGTATTAAATGCTTCCCATATGCATTTTATAGATCTCACATATACATTTTCTCTATCCACTCAAGCACCCCAAGAGGGAGGCATGATTATTATCCCCGGGTCACAGATGAGGGAACTCTCCCCAGGGAGGGTGGGTCCCCTCTCCAGGGTCACCCCGCAGGAAATAGCAGGACTGGGATTTGACCCCGGGCCTGCTCCTCCAGGATGTGTTACAAGCGAGGAGGAGCCTGTCCTGAGATGCTGTGTGTCTGCTATAGAATGCTTGGAAGACAGAAGGGCAAGCTCACCCCCGCCCTGCACGCGGACGACTGGCAGAGAGAGAGGGACGGGCGTTCCAGGGGGGGAGCAGAGTGAGCAGAGGTGTGGAGGCAGGAGCCCAGCACCTGGGGGTCACAAGACAGGCCGGTGAGACTGTGCAGTGGGGGTCCCAGGTCAGACACTGAGCCACTCTGTCCAGGCGGCGAGAGAAGCTGGACCTGCCCCCCTCACTGGGACCTGCCAACAGGCCAGAGAAGGAGCTGAGCTTGGCTTTGCACCAGCCCCGCGTGCCTCCTTCTTGCCCCATAATTACGTGATTATGCACCGCTGGTTCTGGAGGGTGGGCGCAGGAGAAGTCCATGTCAGCTGCTTAGACCCTCAGAGTCAGGTCCCTTCCACGCCCCCAGGAAGTGCTGGGCCCAGACCAGGTTCTGCTGCCAGGGGCTGGAGCTGTGGGTCCCCAACCTGTTCCGTTGCGTTGGCTCCATGTAGCCCGGGGGGGCCAAAGCTGGTAATTTTAGAAGTTAGAGGCTTTGGGTTCCTAAAACCGCAGGCCCACTCTATTCTGAGACAAAGCACCTCTGTTTCTGACTCTCCTTTCTCAGAAGAGCTGTTCCCTTTTTAGTATGGGACATAACCCGCGCCAACCAAGGGCCCGCAGAACGTCAGAGCGGCGACCACCAGGTATGGACTCCCTGGCAGCCTGCCTCCTGCACTCCCCACTCAGCCCTCACACCCCGCTGCACTGGGGAGGGTGGGACTGACGGGTGGGCAGAGCAGGGAAGCACTGAGACTACTAGGGCCCAGGAAGAACAGGAGGGTGATGCCCTCAGGGGGGCCAGGGGAGCTCTGCGCAGGAGGAACCCAGCGGACAGACCTGACCTGGGAGAGCAGGTGAGTTCCACTTCTGCTCTAGTCCCTGATGCTGGCAGTGGGAAGGTTGGCTCCAGGCCGCCCTCATGGGGCCCAGACACACAGGGGGCTTGTGAGACAGCTGGAGACGGCATCAGTCAGGGGGCGCAGGGAGCTCAGCCTGGGGGGACACGATCCCAGCCTCCCCTGGAGCAGGACCCTCCAAGGGGTCTGCCTCCGGAGGGCTGGGAGGGGGTGCTGGAGGTGGGCTAGAGGGCCTTGGCTGTGAGGGAGCCAGACCCTTTTCCTCAGTGAGCCTTCAGAGGCAGGGGCTTCTTGGGGTTCAGGGAGTGAGCCTCCCGTCAGAGGGGTATGGGATCAAGGACAGAGCCTGCAGGGGGTTCGCGGACTGGGGAGCCGGCTGCGCTAGACCAGTGTTCTCCGGGGGTGCTCTGAGGAGCGTCCATATCGGGACCACGTGGGAAGTTCATGAGAAAGGCACACCGTTGGACGCCCGCAGAGACCCACTGAGGCAGACTCTGAGGAAGCAGAGTTTGTTACAAGCTCCCCAAACCTGGTTCCTACGCTCACTGAGTGCGAGAGCCCCTGGACCAGACAGCTTTTGCAGTCTCTTCCCCAGAGAGAGTCTGGGTTCTCCTTGTGGATCAGAGGGCCAGAGAGAACGGTGTCCCTCGCAGCCTGATGTGGGCCGTGCAGCCGCCACCGACCCCTTGGGACTGTGCCCAGTGCAGGGCCTCCTGGCTCCCGGGCCCTCCCGGGCCTCAGGAGCTGGGGCCTCCTGCACTCCTGTGCCCCCACACGCTTCCTGGCTGGATCCCGCCCCCGTAGACCCCTCTCTGCGGTCCTGCCCGCCTGTCCCTGGGGTGCCTCACTGCTGGAAACCAACACCAGCTTCCAGCGACCCTCCGGGGCTCCCGCTACCACCCGCCCTCCGTCCACACAGCTGCTTGCCCTCCGAGCCGCTGTCACCTCCCACGCCTGCCCCTCCGCGGCACACACCCCGTCCCCCACCTGCATTTGGCCCAAGACCACTTCCTCCTGGAGCCTCCCCACTTTCTCTGTGGGACGACTGAGCTCCAAGGACCACAAGGATTGGTCCAGCTCCGACCACCAAAGGCTCTAAAGGCAATCTTTCACTGAGGGGCTTCCGGAGGGAGGAAGGGGGTGCAGAAAGCCTTCCTGGGATGGAGAGACTTGCTGCCTCCAAGCCAGGGGAGGACCCCAGGGAAGGCCTGGTCGGCCGGACAGCTCCCCAGCCGGACCGCATGGGTCAGACCGCGGCTGGCTGCCCTGTCCCCCCGCGACAGCTCTACAGAGGTCCTGCCAGGTTAATCATTCTTGCAAACACAGACACTGGGGGGACACGGCCGCGTCCTCGCACATCTGTGGGGCTGCCGTGTGGAAAGGGGGCAGCGTCATGGGGGCTGGAGGAAGATGCGGGGGCGGGTTTCAGCTCCAGTTGGACGTCGGAGATGCCGGGTCGGGGGTGGTTAAGCTCCCCGTGCCCAACAGTGCGCAACCCCAGGGGAGACGTTTGCTGGCACGTTCCCGTCTACTGAGGGCTCTCCTCCAGGCCTCCTGGCTCACCCTGCCAGGCTGGTTATGATCGCTCCTTTTTATAGACCAGGAAACTGAGGCCCAGGGCCATTCATCGGATCTGTGGCCGAGTGGTCCTCGGGCTGGAGGGAGGAGCCCTGCAGCTGATACGCCCCCGGGGCGTCAAAGGGCAGCACTGTCTACACCGGCTGAGCCTGGGCCATGGGGTGCGGGGCAGAAGTCTAGGCAGGGAGTGAGCATCCCGTCAACGGCAGTATTCGAGTAGGCCTCGATGGCCCTTTCAAACTCAGCTTTGAGGGCGCAGGCGTCCTTTGGGAGCCAGGAGGCGAGAAGGGCGAGAGCCCTGTGAGGAGCCCCGGCCGGCACCCTTGTCATTTCATGCCCACAGTAACCCCCAAGTATTTCACCCCGTTGTTCCCACAGGGAAACTGAGGCCCAGAGCCACAGAGTGACTTGCCCAGGTCACACGCAGCTAGGAAGTGGCAGAAGCAGGGCTGAAGTCCAGGTGTGGGCCAAGCCCTGGCACCGGTCACCTCAGAACGCTGTCAGCCCATCGCCAGCCTCCCTGGCTCTCCTGTGCACAGGGCTGGGCTATGCCAGCCTTCCAGGAGGCCGGAGGAGGCCCGTGGGGGTCTCCGGGTCCCAGGTCCTGTGTTACCCACAGGGCACAGCTCACTAGTGTCCAAAGTCCTCCCCTGACATCTCCTGGAGGGAGGCAGGGAGGCTGGGCGGAGAGCGTGAGGCTCAGACAGGCCACGCCAGACTCTAGACATACCACAGTCACGTGGCTGAGCCAGCACCAGGCCTCGTTATAGCCCGAGCTGGCCCCTTGCCGGGCAGCCTGGACCCACCTGGCTCAGTGGCTATAACCCTGAAGTCCCACATCCCCATCCACACACCCAGAGCCTAGGCCAAAGAGCCTGCTTGCTGAGAAGTGTAGTCAAGGAAGAGGGGGTGCTTGAGATGGGGCCTGGGCTCCTGTTCTGGCTCGGTGTCTTTGCATGCTGTGTGACCTTGGTCCGGGCACCTGCCCTCTCTGAGCCTCCATCTGCTCATCAGCAAAATGGAGGTGACGGTCCGAGGATATGTTTGAGAGTATCAGGATGACCTTGCTCCCCTACCCCATGGTCTCAGAAGCCCCTCCCAGCCCTGAGCCAGACAGACTCCAGCTCCCTCCGCTCAAGAGGCCCCAGGACCAGCCCCCCCACACCTACCAGCGGATGTCAGCAACCACCGCCCAGTTGCAGGACAGAAGCAGCTCCCCGAGGGCCAGGAACACCTGTGGACAAGGACGCCAGTCACTGACCCCTCCCTGCATTCTCTTCCTGCCTGCAGGGAGAAAGGGGCCGACAGGATTTGATTCGCTGGGGTAGGCGAGGCCTGAACTGTTTCTTCAGTTCCAGCAGCCTGGGTGGGCGTTCCGGTCTGGGCAGGCTGGTGGCCATGACCCGGAGGAGAGGGCCAGGCCCCCAGGCCCCCAGGCCCAGGCCTTGAGGTCCCTCCTGGGGCCCAGTAGGAGGGCAGTCAGGACTTCCAGGCCTGTCCAGAGCGCCTCCCCCCCATCCTGGCACCTGCGGGGCTGGCATAACCTTGTGTGCCCGGTCCCGCCCTGCCCCGTGCCTGCCAGAGACTAGGGGCCACCGTGGACCTGTCTCGCCCAGTCCCTGAGCCCCCTGCCTCATGCCAGGGGATTAGGACAATCCTCATTCCACTCACTCAGGAAGAGCTTAATGAAGCAGCAAGAAGGGGGAAAAAAGTCATTTCTCAGAGCCTCCAAGAGCTTATTGCTGGAGTGGAATTAGTCATTCCTGGAGTCACGGGGCTGTGCCCGGCTCAGCCCGGGCTCTGGTTCCCAAAGGCCTGCGAACACCCAGGGCAGAGGAAGGGAAGGAGCCTGCTCCTCCCAGGCACCAGCACGTCCACCCTCTCGGCCACCCCGCCGGCGAGGGTCATGACACCCACCTCCCAGGCCCGCACACCCTCATCCCTGCTGCTGGCCCCATGCAAGATGAGGCCGGCAGAGGGGAGTCAGAGGGAAGCCCAGGATGGGGAGGCCTCGGGTGGAGGTGGCGCTAAGCCCAGCCCAGAGGGAGGGGCAGGGCCCAGCCCGAAGAGCCCCCAGGAGGCAGGCAGCTGGGATATGGGCCCCCTGTGCTGGGGGGCAGGGGCGTGAGCTCCCTCCGTGCGACCAGCCCCCCACCCTCTGCCCAGACTGGGGAACTCTGCGGCCCAGGGCTGGGCATCCATGGGGTGGGAATCGGGGAGTTGCTGGGGCAGGTCTCAGGTGGCCGCAGACCCGCATTCCAGCCCGACAGGGTCTGCCACCCCGGCCTCCTGGGGCCACAAGAAAGCCGGGCCGCCCTCCCCGCCCTCCCCGCCCCTGGACAGCCGTCGGTCGCTCCTCACACCCGGCACCCTGGGCCGAGGAGCTGGTCTCTCCCCGGCTCCCCCACACCCACAGGACGTACTGAAATACACCTTTTCCTTCCTCCAGCTGGAGCGGGGTGGATCCCGACCCCAGAATGGAGCCCGCAGGCGGAGGCCACAGCCACAGGCTGCCGGGGATGCCAGGTTTCCTGAGACACACCTGGAAACCACCCGGTCATCAATCCTCCACGCGCGGCTTCGCGGGGTGAAGGCCGGGCTGGGAGCGGCCACCTCCTGGCCCTGTAATTACAGAGGCTCCCGAGGCGCCAGGAGGGCTCTCCCACAAAGGGGTGGGCCACCCTCGGCCTCAGCTATGCCCTCCGCGGGCCACGTGCAACTGGGTCTCGGAGCTTGGGGCTCCCGTGGCCAACACGGACTCCAGCAAACACCCACCTGAAAGGGCCCCGGTTTGGGGCCGAGTCCCCTCGAGGGATGTAGCTGGCTGTTCACAGCCCCGGGCTCCTCCTGGACGCCCTCCTGTGCCCAGAGGACCAGCCGGTCCCCGAGCCCTGTCTCTCCTCCTGCCGGCCAGGACAGCCGCGGCAGCCAGGACAGACCCCAGGACAGGCTGCCCCCAGCAAGCTGTCTGGGAAAGCCCGCTACACCTGGCCACTGGGGCTGCACACGGGGGTGGGGGCTCCCACGTGCTTGTGGTCCGTTCCCACCCTAACGTCGCTCAGCTCCGCCCCCTCCTCCGGCCGCCGCTGCTGGCCTGGTCCAGGCCTCCCCTCTCCTCCTCACCGGTTCCCAGGCCTCCCAACACCAGCCCCCAAGGGGACTTCCGAGTGGGAGGTCTGACTCTGCCCTTGTCCCCTTAGCGGCTTGTCCCCTTAGCGCCTTGCATGCTTCCCTGCACCCTGACTTCGTTCCCCGGGTGAGAGGGCCTGGGAACGCTGCCTGGAGCCTGAGAAACGGGGAGCCCCTCAGCCCCTGGCCTTTTCCTTTCAGACCCAAGAGGATTTCCCCCTCGAGCTGGGGCAGTGAGGGTGAATGTCCCTGGCCTTAGTCACCCCGGCCAGAGACACACGCGCCTACACTCTAAGCGCCTCCCGTGACTCACGCACATGTGCTCACACACTGCAGCCACACAAGTGTGCACAGAATCCCCACGCGTGTGCACACGCAACTCACACCACACGTACATGCACGTGAGCCAACAGGGATGACTTCCAAAGCACCACCACGCGTGGCTGGGGTGAATGCATGGGTACGCGCGTGTTCTGGCGGCCTCGCAGACGTGTGCGCACCTTGCACACACCTCTCCGGGCGCACACACAGGGGGGCTTGGGGGGGAGGCAGACCCCTGTGGCGGGGAGGGGCCAGTCTTCCAGGCGGCAGTAACTGAGCTCAGAACCGCGAGGACTGGATCCTAGGCCTCCCTCGGATCGACTCCATGCCCCGTGTGGCTAAGCCGCTCAGGACAGGCCCCAGGCACACACTGGCTGCCAGCAAGCTACCAGGCCGGCTGGCACACTTTGCCCCTGGGCCTGCCAACCGGTAATTGCAGGGACTGGCGTCAGGGCGCGAGGGCACCGCTCAGTTCCCGGGGTCTGGCAGTGGCCCCGGCAACCTGGGAGGCAGGCAGGTGGGGAGCGAGGCAGCGAGGAGGCTGAGTTCTGCCGTCCTCCTGGAAAACTCAGCAGACTGCAGCCTCTCTGGGTGGGTGTTGCTGCCTGTCCAAGAAGAGACACCTG